ATGATGTGATCCGTGCACCTATATCAATGATCTAAGAAAGAAAATTAGAGTGAGCAGGTAACATTCAAGCAACCGTACCCTACAAGATTCTTCAAGGAATCATGTTGATTAGAATTATTCAAGAGACTGAGAATCTGATCATACTGCTCTGAGGTAAAAGCTAGGACACTAGGAGATGGGCAATAGAAAAAGAAGAACCGTCAACCAAAGTAGACTCAAAAAGTGTACTAGAATCCACCATGGCTTCATGAACCCCTTTCTTATAAGTAAACTTGAACTCGAGAGCAGGATTTCAAAAAGTGGTTGAATAGAGATATCGCGGTCGCGGCGGTGTTTGAAACCGCTATCGCGAAAAATAACGGTATGAAGCAGGATGACACCAATAGCGGCGGATTGCGGCCGTAATTTAACGGATAGCGACCAATTGCGCCAATAGCGGACCACTATTCCTCTATTATTCCGTTATTTTCGTGATATCCACAATGATCGCAATAGCATCTGTTATATCCACAACCGTGCTAAATGCGACGTGTCCGGAAATGTGAACGCGAACGCTATTTAAAATCAATCCTGCTCGGGAGGAAATCCTATTAAACGATAACAAGTATCACGATGATGCCCTTAATTTTGCAGTACTAAAAAATGCTAGTGTAGCGCTTCTTATCAGAATTCCTAGAGACTCGAGAAAGCATAATAGTAAGTTATGATGGTGATATATTAGAGAGATGAATCCGTTGAGATTCTTCATAAGCAATCATCGAATAGACCTAATTTACTGAAAGAAGAGATTGAACAAGAAAGATTTAACTTCTGGTATGAGTGTAGGAATCATTAAGCCCCATGAGAAACTAAAACAAATGCTGTTGAGCAAGATGCCTTACAACCTGCTGATTTCCATCAATATTGTAATTTGACATTGGAAAAATAGCACCATATTCATCTCATAAGGCTTTTAATTATGTGAAATAGGCAGAGACAACGGAATCCCCTTGATGAACAGTTACAATTTCACGATGTAAAAAGAAAACCCTAGAGTCATCTATCTTGTCAAAGCATTCTTTTAAATCACTCCAACCATAAGCGGTTGGGAGCAAAAATGATTCCAACAGACAATTCATGGCTTACGGCTTCAAAATCCAAGAGAGCACGATGGCGTTACACCTCTCCCACTGTGAATGCAATGACGAGTCAAAGGCCTCCTTCACACAATCACCATCAATGAAGCCAAGTTTATTCTTCACAAAGAGAGCACTTCGTATCGATCTGCTCCACACATTGTAGATCTCAAAACTAGTAAGTTGATGTGAAACCAGAAACGTTCCTGGTGTATCTGAGGGGTGAAGATAGAGTTGGTGATTGTAGTCAATTGTCTCATCCATCAAAGAAATATGAAAGGTAAGCTAAACAATTACTCGGGAAAAAAATAGGCTGCAAAGAAGGAACCAGGACCCAAAAAGAAAACAAAACAAAGTAAAACCAAGGATCGATTTGGCAATGATACCATATTAAGAAGAAAAGAATGAGGAATGAAATTCATGTATTGAATTCATTGATCAAATATAGTCATCTTTACAATTATATACAAGATGCTATAACCATCTAACCTTATAATTCTACACTAACCCTTCACAACTAACTTGTAACAAATAATTAACAAGAATAACTAACTCCTATTCTCGACACGTTAATGATGTTTTGGGTCTTGATCTGGGTTATAGATGATCCAAGAGGTTGGAGCCATAATGATTTGGTAGTCGATGGTACATGATTTAAGTCCATCGCAGGCTTTCTCTGTTATTGTGGTGTTGAAGTGGCAGTTTTAGTGGTGCTGGTATGGTTAAGCTTGATCTTAGTGAAGTTATAAGTTATCTGGGGCTTTGATTTGTAGCAGCTGTCTAGTTTACTAGTTGAGGTTTCACTCTGGGAGATTTTTAGCTTTTGGTTATAATTTTGGTAATGTTTTTCGAATTTCCCTCGTTCTGAGATTGTGTTTGTTGGCTCGGATGTTTGTGAGGTGTGGTTAAGTTCTGATTTTTGTTCGTGTGTTCATGTGTATGCATGATAATGGCAATAGTGCACTTTTCTCCCCCATTTAGGTCTAAGCGGTTTTTTAATGAGGATCTTACCATTGTCGTTTTGTATGTAGTTTTCGTCAATAACATACAAAATCCATTTTAAAAAAAAACTTATAACTTATTGAAAAGATTATAGAACTTTAGAGTCGTTTTTTAAAGAAAGCAATACTAGGGTGTGGATAAAAATATGATTAGATTCAATTTGATTTGTTGAAATAATCTAAAAATTCGAATCTTCAATTCGTTTTTTGATTTTCAGATTATTTGAATCGAATATCTGGAAAAAATAGATAATTTGATTAAATAAGAATAACCTAAATTCTAATTTTGGATTATTTGAAAATTCGATAAAAATTATACTTTTAAAATTTAGACCTCTAACCTAATAAATGAGTAACTCATTAATCCACTAAACCTCTATCCCATTAAAAATAAGAGTTTTAATTGTTTGTTGTACATGCATAATTCTATATAGAGCTATAAAAATGTTGCATAAATTCAACAAAATATAAAATTTGAATCAATATTTTTTTTATCAAATTAAACTATATTTTTGGATTTGAATATTTGGATATCTAATCTGAAAATATACGAAAAATTAGATATCTAATTTTTTTGAATTGAATACAAAACACAATTTTAATGATCTACTTTTTGAAATAGAAACAACTAATTTTATTAATAAATAGAAAATATCTAAAATTATATAATAAAATTTACAACAAAAATCGTAAATTAGGTACATAATTGAGATATTATATTAAAAACACTAAGAAACTAGTCACTCAAGATCATATGAGGACTATACAAGGAAATGATGAAAATTTCATCCATAAAATTTGAACAATGGATAGATATGAACATATCTAACTAATACAACAAACGAACCACAATTGAGAATTTAAACTACTGAAAGACCATTGACAAAATGCAAATCAGAGCAAAACATCACGAGATACGATCCCAGATTGCTATCCAAATTCGAGGTTCAAAGTAGGAAAGATCAGCGAGATAACAAATGAGCACCATCTTGATTAGTCATCTTGATCAGTCATGGATTTCAAATCCAACTCTAAGAGAAAATAAATGACAAATGATCGAAAAAGAAAATAAAATCATACCAAAAGACAGAAAAAAATACTATGAAAGCAGATAAATTTGTACCATAAATATAAATTTATTAAAAATAAAGAAAAACAAAGATACGAGACAAAAAAAATAAACGACCTCAACCAGCGCCAAAAACTGTGCCTCCGCCCGCTAATGAGGGGAAAAATGATCCAGGTAGAGAAAATAAGAAAGCAAAGAGCTAAAAAATAGCTGTCTCTTTTTTTTATATGTATGGGGTAAGGGGAGGTAAAATAGTAGGTTATCCCTAACACCAGATTGATAGCAGCTTCCGTAAGAAAACTCCGAATTTTAAATCTAAGTAATATTCGATATCCATAAATACACTCCCCAAATGCAGAAGCATGTGTCAAAGTCCAAATCAGATTATGATGTTTCATCTAATGGGCCACTGATTGAAAGTTATATCCTATATTTTGTGGTGAAAAAGAAAATGCACGTATTTTTCATTTATCATATCAAAAATAAGGCTTTTGGGCTTTGACATTGACAGATTTGGTTTTAATGAAATATCAAGCAAGAAGGATTAAATACAAGGCACAATATTAAAAATAGTCCCCAATATTTATTAAAATGATTATTTTGATCATTATTCTTTTTTTTGAAGTATTTTAGCCCATAATATTTCACTTTGAGGTAAAGAGTTCCCTTTATACATGAAAATCATTAGTTAACACACAATTAACGCTCTAAAATTGAAATATTTTTAACCTCAAATAAAATATTAAGGGACTGTTTGGTTCAAGGAATGTGAGATTCCCATGGGAATGTAATTCACATTCCCATGTTTGGTTGGCCGGGAATCTCATTCCCAGTAATATTTTATTACTAATAGTAGATTTTTTGGGATATATTACCGGGAATGTCATTACCTCCTTTTCCTTAGGTATTGTTGGATTACCGACATTTTGGACTAAAATTCCCTTAAAGTTTATTTTCTCAAAAATATCATTCTTCTGTCATTGAATAATAAAAATTCTACGAAGGTTAAATTATAAATTTATCCTTAAACTATTTTAGATTTACAAAAAAAGTCTATAATTAAAATTTTATATGAAGTTTAGGGGTTAAAATAAAATTTTGCCTTTTCACTAAACTTTTTTATATTTTCAATTTTGTAAAAAATATATATAAATTTTATGAATTTAAATTTTTTAAAGAAAATATATAAATATTTTCAAACTTGTTAAAAATTAAATATATAATAAGGACAATTTGGTCAAATATACATTCTAATAATCTTTTATTTTTTTAACCAAACAAGATAATCTTACATTCATGCTAAACCAACCAAATACAAAATACAACATTCCCAGTAATTCTATTTCCTGGTAATCTTATATTCTCACCGGTAATCTTACATTCTGTGAACCAAACGCATCCTAAAAATTAAAATATCCTAAAAAAGAATGAGACAAAATTATTAATACTATTAAGTGTTAGGACCTATTTTATCCTAAAATAAAATATTGTGAGCCAAATGCTTAAAAAATAGAATAAAGAATAAAATGATCCTTTTAATAAATGTTAAGATTAATTTTGACATTTTACCTTAATACAATATTATCTCATGTTTTAGTTGCTAAATATATGTATTTTAAGTTGATAATCTTATGTATTAATGATGTCACGGCCTTTTTGGGGACCAATGCAGAAATTCATTGGTTTTAAAATATTAATTAAAATGAGTGGTGTATATTCATCCGACTTACCAAAAGTAAATTAAAATGTTAATTAAAATGAGTGGTGTATATTCATCCGACTTACCAAAAGGATATTAGGTACAAGGCCCAACTTATCCGAAACATTTTCATTAGCTCAAATATCAGATTCATCTTAGATTTCCTTATCAAAACAAAGCTTGTTTCTAATGGATGCAACTGCAACTCTTCCATCTAAAATGAAAGCTTGGACTTACGCTGAATATGGAAAATCATCTGATGTTCTGAAACTAAACTCCGAAGTTGATGTACCCCAAATGAACGATGATCAAGTTATTGTCAAAGTTGTAGCAGCTGGGATCAATCCCATTGATTTCAAAAGAATGGCTGGAATGCTCAAACACACCGATTCCCCTTTCCCTGTAAGTTTTTATCATATTCAAATTCTTATAGGAAGCAAATAATCGAATCTAGAAATTAAAAAAAAAAATCATATTCAAACTTAGGTCTCAAATACAGGGAAAAAAACCTAGAAAAAATTGAACATACCCGTATAATATGTTGCTGATTTTAACTTTCTTTTCTCTGTGTTTGTGAAGATTATTCCAGGATTTGATGTTGCAGGTGTGGTGGTGAAAGTGGGGGGTCTAGTTAAGAAATTCAAGGTAGGGGATGAAGTGTATGGGGATATTAATGAGAAGGGCGTGCACCCAACACAATTTGGAACCATAGCTGAATATACTGTTGCTACAGAGAAGCTTTTGGCTTTGAAACCCAAAAATCTCAGCTTCATTGAATCTGCAGGGCTGCCTTTGGCCATGGAGACTGCCTATGAAGGTCTTGAACGATGCCACTTTTCTGCAGGCAAATCTCTCCTTGTATTGGGTGGCGCTGGTGGAGTCGGAACCATGATTATTCAGGTTCATTTTGAGTCTCCAACTTCATTTCCTCTATAATATTCAATACCTTAATCAGTGATTTAAATTTCAGTTGCGGTTATATTCCTTGTGTTGCGTTGTTATAATTGTAGTACTAGCGGTGTTATTACCGTCATTGCAGATATCATGATTGTAAGATAACCGTTTCAGACATCACTTTTATTCCTATATTCTAAAAACGGACTAGTATTTAAATCTCGGACCTTTAACTAAAATTGAACTTTATGCTGGATTAGCTAGCTAAGCAGGTGTATGGAGCATCCAAAATAGCAGCCACCTCAAGTACAGGAAAACTAGAATTGCTGAAGACCTTGGGTGCTGATTTGCCCATCGATTACACTAAGCAAAACTTCGAAGATCTGCCAGAGAAATTCGATGCTGTATATGATGCAGTCGGTAATATTCGAATATCATCCTTGAAACATGATAAGAATACATGAACCTATCAAAACTTTTAGGTTAAACTATGAGTTTAGTATCCCAACTATCACTTTTGTTCCGTTTTGATCACCAAACTATTTTTTGTTTTAAAATTATACATAACGTTTCATTTTAGTCATTAAATGTTAAAAATAATTGGGTGACTAAAATGAAATAAAAGTGATAGTTAAGTTGGTAAACTTACAGTTTATTCAAATTTTTTATCATTAATATGGATATTTTATTTATTTTGGACTTAAAAAAACAGGGCAATCTGAGAGGGCGGTGAAGGCAGTGAAAGAAGGTGGGCATGTTGTGACTATATATGGTGCAGTGGCTCCACCGGCAACTTCATTTTTTCTTACTTCAGATGGAACCATTTTGGAGAAATTGGAGCCTTTCTTGGAGAGTGGTAAAGTGAAGCCAATTATTGATCCCAAAGGCATGTTTTCATTTACCGAGACTCCTCAAGCGTTTGCTTATCTTGAAACTGGCCGAGTTGTTGGAAAAGTGGTCATTTCTATAACGCCATGATTTTCAAGATCATTATATATTATAGTAGTAAAACCGTACGACTGTATCAAGAGGAATGTTATCTGTTTTACATGAATAATCCATCTTGAGTAAATAAATCTCTTTTTGTAACATCCTTAACCCCTATACATAGTTAAATAGGGTAAAAGATGTCACACTGACTTTTGGTAACATTATATAATTGAAACCCGTAAAATTTTGTTTCACTTTAAAATTTCAATTCATTGATTAAAACCAATCTAATTAATTGCGAAAAATCATATAATAATGTTTTATCGATCAATTTAAATTCGATTTTAGACCACAACTAGGTAATTTGATGCTATTTCATAACATATATAAAACATGCAAAAAAAATGCCTAATTTAAAAATCAATCAGTTGTCTTCTAAAACATAATAATATAAAATACTATTCATTTATATTACTATAAGAAAAAGTATCTTACTGATACTGTAGGTTGTTATGATTTTCGAAGAAGAGATGTTCTCAATGCTCCTTACTTCCCATCCTTACACTTTTCTTTACCTACGCATGAAAATCATCCCACAATTAGTGTAACTTAGTGATGCATTATAACAATTTTAAGGTCAGATAAAATATAAAAAATAATCATAATAATTCAAAATGATAAAATTTAATTCAAATAAAGTAATTGAATTTTCAAACCAACTTATCGAAGTCATGTTTCCACTTCAGGAACCTGAAAATAATCATCTCATGATTTTATAAAAAATCATGTTAATCAATATCAATCACAGAAACCATTTCATAATCTTTTCATTCAATCTCATTTCAGTACTTTCACATTTTGTTTTCATATTTCATATTTCAGATTGATACTTCAGATTCATATTTTAGTTTAATATCCCAATGTATATATATATATAAGAATGCAATATACGTGAATCAGACAGAATGTGTGTAACACCCCCAGCCCGTACCCTACCCAGATACGAATATGAATCTGAGGTGTCACATTGACTTTCTAAAACTTTGACTCTTTGAAAATTCATTGAAAATTTAAACTTTTATTTTAATCTTAGTGGTGAAACCCTCATACAAAAGTAAATATCGAAAATTCATAAATCACAATGAAAATAAATACTTAATATATTTTTATAAACTTAAAATAGTATGGTTACAAAATTAATCAGAGCATTTCGATTTAAACCTTTATGATACATGCCAACAAAATTACAAAATAATAAGAAACTCCTACAATTCAAATCGTTCTGATATGATCGTCTTCAAGTGTATGTTGTCCTTCCCTAGCTTTACTCATTGGATCTCTTTGAACATACGTGTGAAAAAAACTCACACGCTAAGTCGTTAACTTAGTGAGGATTAAATGAGCATAAAAATATTGAAAAACACTTCAATACAGAAACCAATATACATTTCATGGAAATCACATGTACTGTTACACATTCTTCAATTTATATCACTTCGTTTTATTAGCCCAACGCATATCATTGAGAACTCAAGGTATGTGAGTACATTGAGGTTGTGCACTATAATTGAAGTCGAAGCTACCGAATAGAATTTGCACAAAAGTGCCACATAGATTTGTCCCGAAGGACCACGTAGAATTTGTCATAAGGACCACATAGAATTTGTCCCGAAGGACCACATAGAATTGTCCTGAAGGACTGCGTAGAACCCTCGACTCTTGGCATGCCAACTATACCTCTAATTCTCATACATATACTTTGGGCTCCAACCATATAATTATTTATCATTACATTATTCAAAATATCTCTTATCCACATAGAACACATTCTCATAGAACCTTCTTCACGTAGATCACATTCACATATAACATATTCACATACAAATAAAATCAAAATAATACTTCAGAAATACAATTTATATAAAACATCATTAAACTATTGCATAAAAGAAATAAAACTATTTTTGATCGAAACCCTTCTAGGTTGGCTTATAGAAAGCCGTCCTCATATCTAATATACAATAAATTAGTTGCACTCACCTTTGCCTCACATAAGTCCTAAACGAAATTCTTTTAAATTTTGTTCGGTCTCTTTACTACGTCGCTTCAACGGTTTCGATCTAAATCTACACATCAACATGTCCAAGATAAATACCAAATCTCAGTTAACGGCTAACCTATTAGCATTTACATAAATGAATTTAACATTTCAGACTGAATAGTATAGGTACTCTACCCACAATACCGATACTTCTCTTCTATGGTACCGATACCTACTTCAGTATTGATACCATTTTGACATTCTAAAATTTCATATTAAATTACAACATCGATACCTTACTCTTGGTATCGATACCCCCACTTTAGTATCGTTACTACTTTAATTAGTATCGATATTGTTCATCCAATTCATACCATTTCTTTCAATTTAACCTTGTGGTATTAGTACTGTTCTTCCAGTACTGTTGAGTCAATCGATCGAATGAAATAGGCAAGAGGGGTGAATTGGCAATTAAAATTTTGGTGGAAGCCTGACAGAAATAAAAATATTTGCACAATGATTTAGAGTGGTTCTACTTGTAACACCCATATACGTATATACATTTTTGTATACGTATACAAGTGTCAAATTTATTTTAAAAACAATTTACTATTTTGTAAAGTCTTTAAAATTTTGTTGCAACTTAATTTCCATATAAATAATCATAATAAATAAGTATTCATTAAAATACATTACAAAATGTTATGTTAAACTTAATTACATGCCAACAAGTTTACAAAAGGATTACTACCGTCCTATTGTTATTGATGAGTCAACCTTGGTGAATTATATCTACTGCTACAGCTTCACTCCTTACTTGATTAATTCTGCTGCTACCTACGCGTGACAATACACACGTTAAGTATATCTTAGTGAGTCATAATATAATGAATAACCTTTGTGTATCCATATATACTATATTCCCTATTTGTCATAATCAATTGTCATGATTCATTTCTTTTCATTTGTAACCTCCGTTTCTGTTTATAATACACCATTATGCACTTTAACATATAACATCTTTTCTATTGATAATGCACCCATATGCATTTAAACTATAGTATACTTTTCTGTTGATAATGTACCCGTATACATTTCAACCATAGTATATTTTTCTATTGATAATGTACCCATATACATTTCAACTATAGCATGCTTTTCTGTTGATAATGCATCCATATGCATTTCAACTCTAGCACACTGTTCTGTTGATAATGCACCCATATGCATTTAAACTCTAACAATACTTTTCTGTTGATATGACCCATATACATTTCAACTATAGCATCCTTTCATGCTAATAATGCACCCATATGCATTAGTATTTTCATGTTCTTTTAGAGCAGTTCATACTCTAACTCATACACAATATCATTTCCATATATTAAATAAAACATAGTAATTATAGTAAAATATACATTAGCAATTAAACAATTCATATTAAATAACTGTTAAACATTTTCATCTAAATTGTATACCATAAAATGTACTCACTTGGCTTTCCTCACTAAGTGTCTAAAAGAATGGATGATTACTCCTGAACTTTACTCTTGCCTTTCGCCTTACTCGCTTCGGAAGCTTAATTTCGATCTATCCCACATTCATTAAATACATACGTAATATCAATTGTTAGTGTATTTCCTAACAATTATAAATTAAACATTAATCAAAATACTTGTTATTAACCTTTCTACAACAATCTCAGCACAACTTAAAATTTCTGGCCCTTCAGATCGATATCCCTACCATGGTATTGATACTACCCTACTTTGGTATCCATACCCCTACCAGTATCAATACCAAAATTAGATTCGATGTGGCCCAGTATCAATACCCTTACCATGGTACTGATACTACTATACTATGGTATCGATACCAAAATTAGGTTCGATGTTACCCGATATGATACCCTCACCATGGTATCGATACCACTTCATTAGGCACCGATACTGATTGAATCAGTATCGATACTTCCCAGATGATTTAGCCTAATTTTTTCCTATGGTATCGGTACTGTTCTATCAATACTGATACCCCTGCCCAGATTTTCCAGTTTTCAACCCGAAATTTACCCAACTTTGGCCAATTTTCCTCTCATTTACCCCCTAAAAAAATACTATATAACACTTCTCTACTTAACCCAACTAACTTTCCTTCATTTAAACACTTAAAACATCTAATATTCCTTAAGAGCATTTGATTCTAAGAATTATACCCCAAATTCTTGAGACACTCTCTCCCAAAGAGAAAATTACAAATTTCGCAAACTTAGAAGAAAAACCTCACAAGGTAAGATTGTTTGCACAATTCAGAACAAACAAGAACACTTAAGAAATGAATACAAATGAGCACAAATTGTGTTCTTGGAAAGCAAAATGAATATTGAAAGGATGTTGACTTGATTTGCTCAAACTTGATGTTTAAGGCTTTTTCAATAGTTTCTCTAGCTTCTCTTCTTATCACCAATTGCTTCAAGACTTGTTTAAATACCCCTTGAATGAATTCTGAACGTTGGGGATGATCATGGAGTCAACAAAACCGTTGTTGTATGTTTTCTAATTCAAAAAGTTGTTGGGAGCGTATGGGGTATCCATACTCCATTTATGAGTATTGATACTACCTGTTATAAATTCAAATATTTCGATCGTTGCAATCCAACAGTATCGATACCTATCAAGGAGTATCAATACTACTATGTAAAGTAGTATCGATACCGGTCATGGTATCGATACCATATTTGCATTCTGTTATTTCTCGGAGTCAAAACCAAAGGGGTAGCATCGGTACCATGATCATGGTATCGGTACTACTATAGGCAATGGTATTGATACCGTGTAGGGTATTGGTACCCATTTTGTATTCAATGTTTGGGGGTATCGATACTGTTATGGTAGTATCAGTACTACCCTATTGAAATCACAATTTTGACTTGATTAACGTTCGAAACACTTTGTAAAAATTATTTCAAAATTGTTTTTAGAATGAAACTAAAATTTTCATTTAAGTAAGGACTAAAATATGTCATTTTAAAACTTGGAGTAATATTTGTAATATTCGAATAATTAAATCGAATATTATATTTGAAATCCAATATAAAATCTTAGAATTGATTAACATA